TTCTTGAATCAATGTTCAGGATAGTGAAAAGCCATCATTTTTGCGACCATAGTTTCGATCCGAAATTTTTGTCTGCTGCATGAAGTGTAATCAAAAAAATACGCCATTCAGTACTACGAATGAAAAGAGTTAGTTATGCTCCTTAAACGTTTGAGTAATCCTGATATGTTGATTCTCTCGTACCGTTAACAAAGAGTCGAGCGCCATCACATTCCGCGCGCTGTTACGTAGGGTTATTGGTTTGTCCAATGGATCTGCTATTCATCAGTGACGGCTCGTTTTTGTCCCGGCGCTAACGATGAATTGCTTAATTCGGCTATCTTCTTTGTTGTCATATAGCCAATATGACGCAGTGATTGCGCCGAATCTTTTGTTGGAGCTAGCGTTCCTACTTTCTTTGCGCCCATCGCTCTCGCTCTCGCCGTCATCGAACGATACCCGCTTCGCATGGAACGATGCCCTTGGGTGCCGAGTCACGATTTGTAGCAAAAATCTTAAGTTCAGTTCTGAAAGCCGTTTTCGATTTTACAGCACAATTCAAGTTGCGATGTTGTCTTCGTATGAGTCTCGATCTCGCTCGCGCGAGACGAACTTCAAGCATTTGCGAGACATAGGAAGTTTTTGGGTCCCCAAATTCAATTGAAGGCAAAACGGTGGATTCATCGGCAAGATCAGCTCTATTTATTTCTTTATTCGATGGTCAACCACAAAGAGGATAGGACACAGTAACCCAAAAAATATGTACGTAATTAGTGGTACGATCGATTGAATTAGTTTGACTAACCAGGTAAGAATCACCGACCAACTCCATAAAAGTGACAAGGGTAGCTTGCATTTCTAGACGACAATGTTGTTATCCGACAACTCTATATAGGGGAGGGCGGGGGGGGGGGCAAAAAAGATATTTTGCTCATGTCGCGCTGTAGAGATTGTCGTCGTTGACGGAAGTTCCTCAGCAGAATATTCCCTAAATGTCCCTCTATAAGTAGACGCAGGCCCTCCTTCACTGCCCTCACCGTCTTCAGAATATGACGTCATCTGTCACCGTCGTCGAGCTCAGGGAGGACCTACCGTAACTGCTCCAGCATGGCATTCTAATGCTTATTATGTACCTCCATAGGGTGAACTGTTGTGGTGATCCGATCCAATGTACGGTATAGCACGCGCTGTTAGGTGCATTATCTCTACCTTTGCCTCAATAGTCAGGGTGAGATTCCGTGATCAGTCTGGTGCTGTCGTTGCTTAAAATTAATGAAAATGCGAAGTGACTCGGCAACGAGATTTAAAGAAGGACCTCCGCCCGGTGTGCGAGCATTTAAAACAGACAGACACTCGGCGATGAGGTGAGAGAATAAGATTCGGGTACGAGAGAGAATAATGGACGAATGAGACCCAGACGCAATCGCATTCGTAGTGGTGGGTAGTCAACCATCTGAGGCTGCAAGCTTCCGGCGCCATTAGGCCCTTGGGCTTTCCCAAGTTGCTTGAGTTCCTCACCTACCAGACTCACCCATCCTGCTCATAGAATAGACCTCCACCCTATCCAATCGTGCTTAGAGTTGCAACCGGAAGGATGATTTAAATTCTGCTTATCGACCACATCTTTCTGAAATGGCAATTGAATAAGTGCTCCTTCCGATTCCACTAAATGGTGAGGCCACTTCCCGCTCAAGTCTGGAATTTCCTAAATAAGCCTGTCGCCAATCTACGCTTCGGCGACGAATCAGGCTTGGATCAGCATAGATGCGGGACGAGCGCTGAACTAACGAACGCGTAACAGGATTGTGTTCCGCTCGGTTTTATGATGCACCTTACATTGGTACATGCCCATGGTCACGAATACCTATGGCTGATTATACTCCTAGATAAATGTTGCTTTTAATGAAGTTAGCAAAATGCCCTGATTTGGAGTAAACGGAGAATCGAAGGAAGTTTCAAAAAAATCGCCAATCATCGTCACAATTGATACTGTAACTTCCAGGGAACCTTATGAGCGGAATGGGCGGCTTCGCTGGTCCACCAAACCTCGGCGCACTTGGGCCCAAAAACACCGGTTCCCAAATTGGACCTGAATTTGGAACAAGTAAGTTGCTGCTTTGCTCAATTTTAGCTTTCTGTTTTCAATACTTCACCACTGGCGTTCGTTGCTTTGCATTTTTTTTTGCTCTAGAAATTTATTAAGGCTTTCCTGCGCCCAATATTGAAGACTACGAGGAAAACGGTGTGAACGGAGCCGTAAGTCGATTCGCACACCATTGTAGCTATACCAATCTTACTTTGCACAAAAAATCCTTGGGAAGCTTGCTTTGTCTACTTCGTGCTTACCATTAGTGCTTCGCGTGCCTTGAAATCGCCATCGCTACCGTGAACGTAAAGATCCAGTCGGAATAGGAACATTTGTAATATTTATAACATAGCCGAGAAAAGGGCTACATATTTTAGTCAGGCAAAGGCCCCAGTGTTCATCGCTTTAGCCAAAAATTGTAATCTAGCCCGGTAAACATGCCGAGCCTTTTTGCGGTCAGGCACCTGACGTTGAGCCCAATAGATGTAGTCTGTCATTGGTGGAGTCAGATTGGCTGTGGTGACGATTAATTCATTTTTTTCAACACACTTGCTTTATGCTACGCCGCTGTTTCTTTTTTACTTTCCTTCCATCATCGTCAACCTTCATTTCCTCCATCCAGAAGTGGAAAAAACGTTGTTGGTGAAACGAGGAGTTGACTAGCTGTAGTATAGCAAGCGATAGGCGCTATCGCAGTATACGGGGGCATCGAGAGAGAGAGAGACATAAGCCTAGGATGGGCAGAAACTTCGGGGAGGATTAAAATCGCTAACGCACCCTGGAGTTTCTCGTCCCCTGCCCATGACTTAGTACCGTTTTAAATGGATGCCTACCGCGTAGAACTCTTTCTGGTTCGACTCGAAGAAGTTGGGCACTCAAATTTTGACGTCGTCGCGGTTATCGAATTGGTTTGCTGCTAAGGAGTGTTGCGCTGACCTGGTCAGTGATAGTCGGACGGCGCCAGACCTGGGCTATATGGCGCGAGAGATTGTTTAACACATTCACGCCGATGGCCGCCCATATGGGCTGCCAACAACATGCGCTCCTGGGACGATGGCAGCCCATATGGGCTGCCAACTGATAATCGCTTGCCAGGCGCTAGGAATGGACAGATAGGTGGGCAAACCTCGTAATCGAGTGAAAATGCTTTTAAATTCCTTCACGGGGAAAGTGAATAAATGCTCTCTTTTCGTAACCACTATTTGTCGTTCTGATCGAAATCCTACTGTTATATGTTTAGATAATCTTTACGCATTGGACATTGCAGAAATTATTTTGTGACATTCATGTTTTTGTTCATTTACAAAACAAAATCTGCGGTTATGTGGTGAGGCGGCGGCGCCCACAAAATCGCGTCCGTCCCACGCGACCGAAAAGTGGAAAAGGGGCGTCGTCGTGAATGTGTTAAGCTGAGAAACGAAGACACGAATGGAGGCGACATTTCAATCTAACCAACCTCACTCAATAACTTAACTTGCTCATTGCCATGTCACGTCTTCATGTGAAATCGTTCTGATGGTCTTTCTTTTTCTAGACCACGAGCGTTTTCAAGGATTTTTTGCGCAGTTTTATCAACTGTGTAAATTTTTTCGGAGAAGTTTTTCCACTGTAATTCGCCGAAAAAATACGTGTTGAGCCGGCCATTTTTTATGCTTTTTTTCTAGGTAGAAAACCCCCGTTTTGAAATCGTTGTAAGGCTGTTTATCAGTCCGGTTCTGTGCCAGTTCCTATTCGAATTTGACCCTGCAATTTATCTCACAAGTCCTCATCAACCAAGCAAACTCGTCAGAGTGGCTTTAAAACGCTTTCCGCTTCCTGACATTGCAACAGGCTTCGATGAAAGCGTCATCGCTGTCGTTTAGGGAAGTGCTAGACGAATTTCAAAAAGTAAATGTCCTTCCACCTTCAACACATGCTTCACCGTCGTTTCCTTTTGACTGCTTCCATGGTTGATAAAAAAGCCAGCGGATACGACAATCTGAAGAATCGTTTGGCTGCATTCGCAGCTGCTTTACATATTCGACAAGCGTATCTCATCATCTCTCTTTGCTATGCAAAAATCCTCACTCCACCGCTCTTCTTAACCATCTGTCATCATCTCTTCTGATCACCGAAGAGATGGTCGGAAAAGAAACCAGGGGATGATTTCTCTACTGTGAGCGTTTATATTGAAAGAAAACTGGATCTTTTTTGTTGTCCTGGGTCCTCTGCACTAAAATATTCCTTCTGACTAACTGAGCGCCGAGTCTCGATTAAGTTCTTCTACCCTTGAAGTTGTCGAGGATAACCTTAGAATAAACAAATATAACGACACTTTAATTCTATGTATACAGTGCTATTCAGTCCATGAGGTAATGTTCGTAACTTCTGACAAGAGGTTCTATTTAGGCCACTAAGAAGCCAGACACACTTGTGAACATCAATGAAGAAGATGACGAGGATTTTGACGAATTCACTAATCCACCAACCACTTCGACTTCAGCTCCACCAGTTCCGATCACACTGATTCCAGTTGAGGTGAGAAATACTGGTGTTCTTTTCTTTTCAACTGCAAAATTAGATGGAAGAAATGTACCCTCGTTTCCGAAGACCACTGTTCCATTTCACTCGTACATTTTGAGAATTTTTGCAAAGCTACCCTCCGAACTACACAAGAAGGATCTTACCTATGGCCTCTCATTGAGGGTTGTTGGTGGAAGAGCGTTCAGAAGAGGTGAAGTCCAACAAAAACGTTCAGCGATGCCATCAAAACCGCAGCGCCTATCACCTATCGCGGTCGCTGTCTCTAAGCCAATGCAAAAATCCTCATCAGTAGTATTTGTGGTGAAGCATCGTGTTCCTCCATTGTTTCTTTCGAATCTTTTATAGCCGGAATCGAACTCAGTGACTGAAGCGACCAGCCCAGTTCCTCTGAAAGAAATACGTATCGAGTTACCGCAAGGCATTGAGGAACAAACTGACAGTGACTATATTGACGAGGTACGTGGTGACTCACTGAGATCTGATTTTTGCGTATGGAACATTGCAGTTGTTTGGATCGAAGTGCAGTTGACGGGATATTACACTGCGCCACGCCTTCAAAAATAAGCGTTTAAATAATGAAGAGGCAGTTTGTGTTGCCAAATTCTTCCCGGGATACACACGTCCCCCGATTTCGTTCGAACATGTCTACATTCTCACGAGTCTGTTACATTTCTACACAGTCTGGTCTCTCTAGTGTCTGGCTAAGGTTATCCTTACCCAGATGAAGCGCTTAGTAAGGAGGAGTGTGCTATCACTGAACCATTCCCACCCATTGCGCCCTTTCGCTGTTTTGGCCGAGAACTACTGGTTTTGTTAGTTACTATTTTATCGGTAGCTTCCGACAGAGCTCGCTATCCGTCCTAGCCGCGTTTCATTCAGTATTTTCTTAGAAAGGAATTGAACACGAGGAAGAATTCGAAAAAGAAGAGTTGTCAAAGGAGGGTGAGAGGGAAAGAGGGCCCCTCCAAACACAACGGCGCCAACCGGAAAAGGCTGAAAGAGTTGGCTGGACAGAGCACGCTCATGGACACGTCTAGCAGTTACTAGTTTCCTATTGGGAATTCAACCTGTACCTTACAAGAGGCAGAGCTACGGTTGAGTATGTTAGATGCGAATATGGACCAATTTCCTTCGGTCGCGAGCTAGAATATTCGTTCATTCACAAATACATAACGTTTTGCATAAGTCGTGTGGAAATATTTATTTCTGGCACGGGTACTGAACTCGCGCATAAATTCTTTGTTCAAATTTGTAGACCTACTAGGAGCTCGAATGCCTTTGTGTTTTCGGGCGTCCAATTCGTTGTGCATTTTGGGGGAAATAACCAGAATTATTCTAGCGGAAAAGCAGAGAAAGACAAGCTTGGTTTAGGTGAAAACCGATGGAAATTCACGGATACAGGTCACCAATAAAATTAAGAATGACGGCGATGAAAGTCTGGTTCGTTCAATTTTATTTGTTACATTTTTTCTTTGGGTCCATTTGTAGGTATAACTGATTTTGTTTAGCTCGCCCCAGATCGAGCAAACAACTTACGCTTGCGAAACAGCGTGCCAAATCTCCCAAAGCTTATCGAGGTTCTGAGAAAGAGTAAGCTTAAGGACTCGGACATAGCAGAGATCATTTCTCAGGTAGATCTGGGTTGAGCGCAGATCGAGGCTATGCTTACTGCTCTTCTGAGTAGATTACGTTTAGATTGAAGACAACGAGAACGTTCCATCGCCGCCAAAGATCGACTTCACTTCAGCCGTTCAAAACATCCCGCTGAAGAAGCATCAAAATCGTGAGCGTATCGTGAAGGCGTCACGTGAACTTCAAAGAAACATCGGAGCTCCTGAACAGGTGCTCCCTACCTGAATAACCGAGTTCGAGTTCTTTTCTCACGTATGTAACTCGACGTTACTGTAAGTTTTCAGGGGATCAACAATCATTTCAATCAGCTTGGACAACTACCTGATCTCTCATCTCCTTCCACTGGTGTACCACCAACGGTAAATATTTCAAGTAATTTCTTGTCATCGAACTTTATAGAGCTACTCTAACGGGTTTTAGCAATATTTCCAGACTTTTCAACCACCTGCCACCGCCACTCTACAAGGCCTAGATCACCTGTTCCCCCACATTACGCAACCAACGCCGGATCCTATCGCCTCAAATCGGCTACAGCGAGAGATTGCTTCAGTACCGACGGATAAAGCTCCTCATCAGCTCCCAGTGGCTTCTACGACTCCGGGCGTACTAGCAGCACAGACGCCGTTCACAACGCCACCAAATTTTGTGGGTTTTACGCGACAAATTAGTCGAATAGCCAGAAAGTCAGGAGTCGATGTGTCCTGTGATATTTGTGGATCACATCCAAATCTTTTATTGGGAATCACTTTATTTATTCTTTAATGCTTTTATCCCACCCTACAACAATGGCATAAGTCTGCAGATATGATCATCCGAAAATCTTTTTTACATCGACTTAATCACGTTCTGTAGAATTTCTGGAAGGGTGAGCGCCATCCTGTGAGCAGGATCAGCCGTCCACATGGTCGAAAAATGGGACCGGGTAGCGTCCTTGTTGGAGGGCTTGTATCAGGCTATTGTTGACCCTGCCCTCGTAGCGCCTGTCAGACTCAAGTAGAAGCTCAACGAGATAGACCGAAACGGAGATCAAATGCTCCCAACTGAAGAGGTTCAGCGTGAGAGGCTTGCACGCCACTTGTGAGGAAACCCAGATGAATTACGAGGGACAATAGCACAGATAGTCAACCATTAGCAGCCCCGCGGAGACTACTAACCCCAAGATGAACTAACTACCCTAACGGCCAGCTAACTGACCTTGGCAACCACATAACCGACTTTAATACACTTAAATACTACGTAGATAGCGTGTGGGTTTTACCCCTCATTGCTACATGACACGAACAAAGGTTGTACTAAGTTTTTATGTAACTTAACTACTCTTATACTTTTACGAGCTAGAGGTTAATACAAATAAAGGTTAGTAATCCCTAAAGCTAACTCACGTCGGGTCGCTTCCCTCGACCCGCCGATCGACCACAAGATGTTGAACTAGGAATAACATCAGAATAGAGTTCTAAGGGCTAACGCCCTGCGAGTCTGCAGAACCGACGACGTAGGGGCAGAACCTTGATGACAGACGGGGAACACCGGGACAGGCCGTGATGGTGCCGTTGCGAACGGCCCGTGCGTTTCCGCACGATCACGGATAGATCGGTCATGTCTGCAGTACTTCGCAGGCGCCGGCGCGCCCAGGGTTCCGTTGGAGCGGTCTTTGCGGTACGCGACACCAGAGCTGAAACGGACTTCCAAGATTGGTTTTCGCCGGGACTGTTTAACTAGACTTCGTTTTGTTTCGCACATGCATTGTCTGGTGTGAAAAGCAAGCAGCTTTAGCGTTAGTTTAGGGAGTGGTTCTCAAGTAAAAGCCCTTACTATTACATCAGAAAAGTGTGGCTGCACCTTGAGCTTACTTTTTTATAAATCGGCGCTCATGCCGTGAAGGGGGAAATTGGAGTGGATGAGCTACCTACAGAACTTGAGATTATGCCTTAGGGAAAGAAATGGATTCTGCAAGAGATGAACAACCTTCGTTCTTCTCGGCGTTTCTCCCTCTACTGAGCATTGTTCAAGTGTCACCTGCCAGCGCTTTTTAAAGGCGCTGTTCTGAACGTCTCCCCTAAGGCCATAAGTTCCTGCTCTTACTGGTCAGTAACATTTTTGTCTCAGTCGACTTTGAAGTACATCTCGAAGTACTTTATCTCTCTCGTAGAGAAGTCCCAGAAAAAAAATGGTGAAGAAATTCAAATATCTCACTTGGTGAAGAGTATGATCGTTTAAGTTGTAAGATTAACACACACATTTTCCAGCTCTTACATCACCAACATTGGCCTCATCCTCACTATCCAACACAGTACAACGCTGTACAACCGCCATCGCCAGCCTATCAGCCTCATCCTTTTATTCATCCTCCTCTTCATCCTTTCCAACCTTATCAACACTATCAGCTACAACAGCAGCAGCAACAACAGGTGAGCTAGAAACAAGTGAACTTAATTGATCCGTCCTACCCATTTTTTACCTGCGCTATTTCATAATGTTTTTATCCAAAAAAATGACGTCTCAATTCACAGCAATCCTAATACCCCATTTCACCTCATAGAGCGCGCTCACCCTGCAAACCCCGCCCCTCGGTATGATGAAAAATCATATCGAGGGGCGGGGTTTGCAGGGTGAGCGCTTGCGTTTCTCCTCTTAAGGGTTCAGAGTCGCAAGGATAGCCAAAATTCTGAAATACTGTGTTAAACGTAGAAACCATTATTTCTACTGGTACCGAACTTTCAGCAGCAGCAACAGCAGCAGCAGCTACAACAGGCAGCTTTCCCACATCAACTGCAACAGCAGCAGCCACAACAATACTACCTTCAACCGCCTCAACATTTACAACAGTATCCACCTCAACAACAACAACAACAACAACAGCAAACTGTTCCTCAGCAAGCACCTCCAGCGCACCAGTACTCACATTACAATAGCCATCCTCAGTATTCAACGCAGCAAGTGTCTTCAGGGCCCCCACAGCAGCCATACAGGTATTTTATAGAGGTTTCACAGGAAATACTTGACTCATCGCCAGAAAATTTCAAAAACCGCTCCATATAACCATCTTTAATCCATGACATCAAAAAGTTGCTAGTTTGGTTAATATTTGACTGCTAATATTTCACTGTTCACAGCCAATTTTCCTATTTTATTCTGTAAAGACAGCTCTCGCGATAAGTTGTGACACCGTCATCAGTTGTGTCAATTGGTGTGTTGATGAGAAAAAAAAACTAAAAAGTGTGCGACCAGAAGTAACGAGACCGTCTTGTTGCACATGGGTGGACGAGATTACCGACAACATGGAGTTCGATTGGGAAAAGTTAAAAATTCTATCTATCCTGCCCCAGGGTGAATAACGGTCGAGGATTTCCTCGACCATAGCTCTCTACCATGCGAGAGTAGTGCCGAGAGTGAACATCCGCGCGGAGAGCACAGACGGCACGCCCATGGCGAGTGTGAATGTCCGCGCGAGAGATCGTGTCTGATCGGGCAGAGAATCCTCGACGTGCCGTTGAGGAATCCTCAAGCGATATTCACCCTGTCCTGCCCTTGACCTTCTGCCACGAAAGTGCCACTTGTCACCTGATCAGACTCTCTCCTCTCTTTCTACTAACTAGCTTTCTCTTTCACGGATATCAATTTCATCGGAACTTTTGTCTTTATGATCGCATGGCACGGAACTGTTCAGGAGCTCTTCCTAGCCCAACTCCATTTTGAGTGTTTTTTTTTCATATAGCTTCTAGTATTCGTAACGCATTCTTGTGTGAAGACCTAGTTTGATAGAGTAGGTGAGCCGTTCATGGATCCTAAGCGGCCAAATGGGTCCAACGCTACGTACCTGGTTGGCCCCTGGTATTTGTCTCACCAGCATAACCATTGTGGATCGGCGCTTAGTTAGCGCAGCTTATTCCCACAATACATCTGGGAAAAGCTACAAGAAAGAAGTTGGATAGAACACTACTGTTATAATTATCAAAAGCTTTAGGCAATTCAAGCAAATTAATGGTCAAACGTATACACGCGACAGTCATGTTGTGTACACAAATCAGCCGGCTGGTAAGTAATCTTGTTAACATTTACCAACATTCATACCGTAAATACGGCTCCCAGACAATACACTGCGTTTCATAAATATAGGTCCACCCTAAATTTTTGCTATTCAAACTCGCTGAGCATTTTCGGAAAATGCAGCTATCACCAATAAATTTCTCATAACGAAAGATTATGTTTTTCTGAAGAAATTCCCCCCTTAAGTAACCTAGATAACTTTTCCGGATCGAATTTTCACAGTTTTATGATTGTAGGGCCACTCATGAAAAGTTCCCATTTCTCATCATCCGTGAAGAGAATCAGGAAAGTAGGCATATACACTTGCTAAGCCAACATCAAGTAACATCATACCGAGAATTTGCGGTGTTCTCTTCGTTAAGACAATTTCTCGACAAGTGATGTGTACTCATATAAAGAGGATATCTGAATAACTCTGAATCAGAATTTCTTCAGAAAATTAGTACCAGGGTTTTTTATCATGAGGAATCTAATGGTTATAGCAGGGTTTTCCGAAAATGCACAGCAATTCTGGAATAGCAAAATTTAGGGTGGACCTATATTTATGAAACGCAGTGTACTTGTATGTTTCACAGGAAACCGCCAGAGTAAACCAGGCCACATACTTGGCGCTGTCTGCAAAGACTCAACAAAGCAGACCTTCTAATGGAATCCAGGTAAGCAGACTGTGGTAACAATTTCTACGTTTGGTCTTGCTCAGATCCTCTCACAGAGTTTCAACAGCTGCAGCGTTATCTGTAATTCTTAACTGAACCAACCATCAGGGAAAGTCCTTTTTCGTTCATCCCCTACACTTTTTAGGGATTTCCCCCAACACTTTATCTGGTTTTTGAGACAGCCTTCTCACTCCCTCAGCTCTGCTGCCTCTCATGAGCATCTGGTGCCCCGCATTTTTGGCTCGTCATCTACAGGGAGCTCAATCCACGAAGTCCGGCTACCACGGGTTAGGCCATGCAAAGGAAGTGGGATAGCCTCAACCGTAAAACTGCTATGTTACGTTCCTTTATGGGCTGAGCCACCTTTTGCAAGTGGCATTTTTTCTTCTTTTTATTACTCAGTACGACAACCCACCTTTAGGCGTTTCAGCAAGCACTTTTATAGATCCCTTTGAAACCCGAGAATAAGATAGGCGGAGAATTGGGGCGCAATCGCCTCGAAGGTTCATATAGAACAGTTTCTAATTAAGGCTCCATCGCGAGTCGCTCGCACAAACACCGGAAACGCGCCCAATCAACAGCACAATGGAAAAACAAGGAACACTGGCTCCACTGGTCATCACCAGGTAAGGAATGACTGCACGGTCACTAACTGCTTCTTCAAACCTCTTCAACTATTTTTTCATTTCAGCTAGTAGAGGTGCGTTTACCAAGAATGGCAAAGAAAACGCCGCCTTCGAAGAATCCCTCAGCTCCATATCAGATCACTGGAACTGGAGCTGCCGTTCATAATCAACGACGGTATCCCGTTCGAACTATTGCCACTCAGCGAATCACCACGCCTTCTCCGGTCCGTGCTGAAGCCGATACTAACACGTTGAATCACTAATCACGATTACTGATGCCATTTAACATACTCGCCAAGAAAATCGTCGAAGATGCCGGCCTCGATCATCGCTTCTAGCACTTCACCAGTGCTGTTCCTTTTAATGGCTCCACGCGGTCGTTCAGTGCCGCATGGCAGCCGCTCCGCATCTATGTAATGTATCTGTACTGGTACTTATGCTTACCAGGGCAAAAATTCACTTTTACGTCAAGCTATGCCACGCAGAAAAAAATTTCATATGTTGTTCATCTGCATGCATCATTTGTAGACAAGAACGGCTTCACAGCACGTTAGCCTGGTTCCACCACCATGTTGGCACTGCTTCGTTCAGGTAAATTGGAGCAAGGAAGCAAGCCTTTTCTACCATGGATTACGGTGGAACCAATCTAACGCGCGCGCAGAGAAATCGTTCTTATCTTTCGTAGAAGAGGAATTTTTTCCTATAATCAGGGAAGACTCATTCTAGAGCACATACTTCTCGAAAACTTCTCGCTCATCGTCTGTTCAAAAATCATCCAGGGATATGAATTTGAATTTTTTAAAGTTTCCTATACTCATTAGTAGTCTACTCTTCACGTACTAGATAGGTTCGACCCCATTTCTGATTGCTACTTTGTCAATGCCTGTGTGAAGTCTCCAGCCTTTTTATTACTTATCCTTCTCTTAGCATCTCTCAAGCGTCTATACTACTCTAATGTTATATATTGTGGTCAATTTTAACTGGTATAGGTATTAGCTTTGTGAAAATTTTTTAAGGAAGCTCATCTGAATGCGAAAAATTCAACTGATTTGTCTTCTGTGAAACTCTACTGCAACTCACCTATAGGACTAACACCTTTCTAAATATCGGATTTTGAATATTTCCTCTCACCACTGGAAATCACCTAGTGCGAGGTCACTGCGCGTCGTGGTTTCGCATAATAGCGCACTACCTTGAGAGCCTACGCTTCTCTCCTTGCTGTCGGATGACGCTGTGCCGTTATCGCCAGCATGAGTATGGGCTCAAAGTTCCTGCCAGAATTCTTTTCTCTGCAAAATTCACGACAAGTGTTCCGAGCCGTTCATTTCGCGTCTCCCAGTAGAGCCAGCTACCCTCGCCTTCAAATAACCAGAAATTGTGCAATTGCAGAAATTGACGTGGCATTAACGTGGCATCGATTCAAGAACATCTTTGAGCACACGTGATGTCACCTTTTCATCGAGAATTTAGCCACGTGTGCCACGTGGGTTTCTGGGCTAAATTCTCGATGAAAAGGTGACATCACGTGTGCTCAAAGATGTTCTTGAATCGATGCCACGTTAATGCCACGTCAATTTCTGCAATTGCACAATTTCTGGTTATTTGAAGGCGAGGGTACATATGTGTGTGCGAGTTTCCCGAGGGTTCGAATGCGATGGAATGCTCTGGAAGCAATCACTTAATTTTTGACGTCTCGAGGGGCCTATGTGTACATTCGACGGTGTTTTTGACACCGAGCATCAACTGCCTTCTTAGACAGACATACTTATACGGCTCGAAGTATTTGCGGCGAATTTTGTCGCGCGCGGATACTTTTGTGTTGCAGAACCACGCGCGTAGTGACTTAAAGTGGCACAATGTGAATTCGCACGTGACAATTTTATCCAATTTCTTATTCTGAACATCTCTTTCGTTCCTCTTGAACATAAATGAACTGAACTCTATCATCACACGTAGGTTGCGAGAGTGGTTCTAGCAATGACGACAGACATGTAAAGCGTTATACTTTGTGTATTATTTCAGCGTCTAAGACTTCCGGATGGAATTCAAGCACAGGGTGATCTGCTAGTGAACCCTGAGCCGAGAATGCATGTTCAGTCTGTCCATGTTGCACACCGACATCCCCCCGTCAACACACTTGCACATTTTTTCGTTCCCACTTAGAAATTATCTGTTATAGCACCAACAACTGCATGAAATCGTTCATATGCACGTTTTTCTCGTTTCCGCACATTTTTTATATGTACAATAGTTTTCTACTACTTTTTCCTAAACGTTTTGTGTCATTGTACTTGGGCGGCCATTTTCGCCTACAACTGCTGCATTTCGTCAATGTTAGTAGAGGTATTTTTTATGAAGGTTGTCCTCATGAGATGACATAGAATGGAGTTACACAACGCCATATTCAGCATAAGTGTTCACCGATTGTAAATATTTATTTATTTTTTGAACATCCTCAAAATGTGACATTTCTGAAGTACTCCTCGTCGATGTGAAACGCGCCTGTGCAAACTAGGTTCGCTATCATTCGATGTATTCGCTTGTATAAAAGCCGAATGAATATTTGAAACAAGGACTTTTTCAATTCTGAAGGAACAATTGACATTATGAGTAGAATCTTCTTCAAGAAATCAACAGAAGGCTCATTCATACACTTTATTGGCAAGCTTTCGCTGTATAACAGCTTCTTCAGGCCTTAAAATTACATTATCAAGTACACAAATACATCGCACTGAATTACTTAAAAGCATAAGCTCACGAAAGTACTAACCAGTCTGGTGACAATAACCGCTAAATTCTGCAATACAATATATACAGAAGTGACAACTGTTAAGGACACAATGCAACGGAAGGACGGCTTACCCCGACACCACTCCCACGCAATTAAAAGTTACTAAAAATGCGATGTGCGTGACTATTGTAAGGAATCTTATCGCCACCGCTAAGATATTAATCTCAGTGCCTCCATGAGCTCATCCCTGTTGTTCATTTCGGGGGATAAGCGTTTTATAGCAAGTGCTTCAAGCAGCTTCCTCTCTAATGGGGCATCCCTCGTGCGATGTAATACAGCAACTTTAACCCATTCGCGACCGCCCGGATTGCGCAATAGCAGGAGTCAGGAGATTTTTCTTCAATAAAATTTGAGTGGATGGAGATTTCCCTGCCCAGGGCTGGCGTAGATGAATGAGGGTATGAAGATTCTTTTCAGGAAAGAAAATTCCCACGGCAGCCACCGGTGGATGCCATTGTCCCAAGTGAGATCTTTGGCAGCCACCGGTGACTGCCATTGTCACGAATGGATTAAGCGTGGGGTGCTTCTCGTCGATGGTAAAGTACATGATGCCACGAGAACGCAATCTTTGGGATGGATTCCGCAGCGCTCGTGTATGTTCCTCCATCCGTTTATGTAGCGGGCGTTTCGTTTCACCAACGTATTTCTGACCGCATCCTTCGCATGTGACCAAATACACTGTACCACGTAGCTGACAAATTTTATTATCGACGCAGTACGTACAGTTACTCCGGCCACATTTTTCTTCATAAATTCGTGACGATGTCAGCAAGCTTTTTAGGTTAGCAGGTGTTCAGACTATGATTATGAGTAGGATAGAGTAGCCCACCACTATTGCAGATGTGCCGTTGTCGCGGCTCAAACCGCTCTGCAAAGGCGCTGGGGCCTTACAATGTGAGCTAATGGACGATTTGCACAAGAGCTAATGGACGGGCACATTTAAGGGTATTTAACCCTTCGGAGGGCGGAAGTGGTGTAGTGGCAAGTGGCACGCTTACCACGCGAGCGGTCCGGGGATCAAATCCTGGGTCGTGAGTCGCCCGGGCCAACCAAGCCTTCCATCCCTCCGGGGTCGGTTAATTGGTACCAGACTTGTCTGGGAGGATAAAAACACTGACTTGTACATCGGCTGGCCCCCGCAAGTCATTGTATAGGCCACATCGCATTCAAACGCCACTACGAATGTACAAATGGAAGTAGAATGCGTGCCGCATCCCAAAAAGGGATTGATCAACGGCAAATGCTTTATCCTTTATCCTTATACCCCCTGCAGAGTGCACGTTTTCTAAAATTCCATTTTCATGACAAAGAAACTTCTAACATGCCTAGTGACATTGATAGATGTTGAAAATTCTGAAGTCGGTACACTCTGAATTCGTTTCAAATTTCACGAACGGTCTTCATAAAGAAATTATACTAGAGAGCAATGGTTCACCTCTTCCTCTTTCTTTCTCTCGCGTTGCCTGAGAGTAGCATAGCGTGCTCCAGCGCCAACGCTCGCTGCGACCACCGTCACAATTCGCACTTTTCCACGGTAGCCTTTCAGTAGCGTGTCTCAGCAATGAATGGAAGGATATCATGCTGGCCCTCGAACTTTGACAAGCAAGTTTATTTATACTGTTATACTGTTTCACCTCTGGTACTCGGTTTAAATCCCACTCGATCTCGGTTTTCCACTCATTCGATGACGTGATAGACTACATGTGAACTACCTCACCAGCTGCAATAACAAAAAGTTCCTAGTAGTTCGACATTTTCTCGAGGTAGCAGTTATCTCCTTATGATTCATGCTTTATGCCTGTCAAATTGAATTATGAAGAAGTAATATGCCTTTAACATTCTTGCTAATTGTTCCCAGTGCTACTACAAACCGATACATACAAACATAGACTGAGAAGGGGCAGGCGAGGTGTGGTAGGAAAAGGACATCTTTCCACTACTTTTTAGACAGTTATTCACCTTTTGTTGAACCCAAAGCATATGTTCACAAATGAATACTGAATTATAGATTCCAAGCAACAGAAGAATCTTATGATAGGCTTTCGGACGGGTGACATCAGAAGGACTTACCACCGGGCATATCGCGACGTTTCCTCATTTCCTTACCATTATGTGCAGCCGCTCCGGTCGGACCAGCAACAAAGAGTATTGCGATTAGATGGTACACCCAAGAGTTCACCTATAATCGAGGAGCTTGAACATCTACCTATATTTTCCATGCTACTCGGTTCTAAATAATCAGTGATTTGAGAGCACCATGCGCAAATACCCATTCTACTGGAACACGAGGTTGCCATCACATGACCACTGCCAGCACGTCCGGCAAGATGTCATCATCTGGCTATCAGATTTAGAATAAATAATGCTTACTTAGATAGGCTCCACAATTACAAAATCTTTACCTGCATCAAACTCTGGCCCACACTGGCAGCCCGGCCAGCTGGTTGACCCTTGGATTATGGACCATGACGG